TGGCACCGACATTATCGTAGCCCCCAACTGATTCCTTAAACAATCTATATGACTTCATTGGCCCAATGTTCGCCTTTGCACAATTCAACATAAACTTCTTGTGGCCAATTTCTAAGTTTCTGTTGATTTTCAGAAAGGGTCTAGATGGAATGGACAGCATTGGATGGTTATGCGTTTCTATGAATGCCGATATGGTGTACCCTACACCACCCACGAGCCTAAACGCCACACGTGCCTTGCAATCAACACGATTTGAAATGCGTCTCCTCTGTTTTGCCTTTGGCACTCCATCATCGTGAGTGGGTTTGTTAACAATTGATGCAAAATGTTTATGACCCTCACGGTTGCATACAATGTACCGCCAAACAACAATACCTGAAACCTTCAAATTAGTGCTTTTGCGAATATCAAAACCTGTCAGTGAGGCATATTGCTTGTAAAAATTAAATCCGTCCTCCAAGGATTTGAACACCATTCCCACTTTAGGCTTGGAGTCTTCAGGGCAAGGAGGAATAAATAAGTTGGATGAAGAAGAAATAATTTCTGTTGTATGGGGCGTGTCTTCGTCTGGAGAAGTAGATGTGTGCACTGCCGATAGAGAGATAAACATGTTGATTAATGCACTATTTATATCTGATTATGCAATACAGGATGCAAAACAATACGAAATAATGTAACATATATGAATATATAAGTACAGAGGGTCTGCAACATCATGGAGCATGAATTCATGAAGTGTTTGAAATTGACCAAAAACATAATGAAAAGAAACCACAAACATACGAAGACCGTGATTAAGCAATACAGGACACGGAACAGTACTCCAAAAAAACAAATACTTACAAATAATTGGAGAAGCATAGGAGAAGCATTCATGAAACCAAATCAGTGGATCATATTTAATGCAGTAAGCAGACATGAAGGTGCAATACTCATTGCATAAAATGCGTAATAGAAATAAAAATAAAAAGCTTAAGGTGTACAAAATTGTGAAGTAGACTTTCATGAAGCTGTGAGAATTGCTAGGGAATGAATGAAAAGGAGAACACCAAAAAGCCAAATTCTGAACAACACAATGTTTACATGTAATTTCACCGCGAATGCAGAAGCATTCGTGAAGTCAACACAAATGTTTATATGAATCCTACGAACTCGAGCAGGCGTGCAAAATTACTAGACGACATTTGCATAATTCTAAACATAACAAAACCAAAAAAATAAAACAAACCTGGAACCATGATAAAGACTCGATCAAGCAGCTGCAATCCCAAAATCGGACGATTGAGAGGATGGTAAAACTAAGAAGTTGATAAATAAGGGAATTCATATCTGCGGAACCGATATGGAGGAATTGGGGAAAGTGAATCCGATCGTGAGCGAGAAATCAGGGATGAGGAAGTTTAACGATGCTTATCGTTTATCATTGGGACCGTAAATAGACCCATATGCCCTGGCGATCAGATTTAGATCTGATTAGATCGGAGGGTTTATATTCATTCTTATTTCTTTCATTAGATCTCTTTCTCACCGGAACCAAACCCTATATATATATATATATATATATATATATATATATATATATATATATATATATATATATGACATGTGGCACATTAGAAACTTGGCATGTGGCATATTAGGTGGCAATTTAACCAAATTTACTTTATTTCATTATTTCACATTTTTTACTCTTTTTTTTGAAAATGATATGGAGTAATTACTTACTCCGTATTTTGAACCCATGAATTCAAAATTAGAATTAAAATTATTTTCATTGTAAATTATTACTTTTAATAAAATATCATTTTTAAGGACTCTACGTACAAATATTTTTAATACCTGTCACGGATTCATTAAATTATAACATTTACAAAATATTTTTAGAATAATAAATAAAATACACTCCTCACTAATAAATAAATTTTATATTTATTCATTATACATTTACATGATATTCCTTTAATTGTATTTATTTAAATTTGGACACCTATCAAATAAAATATTTCCTTTACCTATAAATAAATTTTATATTTTTATGACACTAAATGTGTCACTTAATTTAAGGTATAGAAAATGCGAATTCAATGTTTTGGAATAAAATCTTTGAATAAATTTAATTGTTAAAGAGAAACATTCATTTTTATGAAAATACTCTTTCGAGTACAATACAATATTTTTTACTCGTTTCATTTATAAAAAAATTGATTAATAAATAAGATGATTTTTTTACATTTAAATAATTTTCATACAAGTATTAGTTTATAATATTTAAAATGAATACATGACTGGACTAAAATTGAAATCTTTTTTAAATTCTCTTCATAAATAAATACTATACGAAGTATTATGAATTTGTTTATGATACCTTTAAATGAAGTTAGTTTGATTATATTTATTTAGATATTGACACCTACTAAATAAATACTCTCTTCACCTATTATGAAATTTCTTTTTTTTAAGACATAATATACCACCTAAATTGAAACATAGAAAACGTAAAATCAACATTTTCGTAGATGTGATCCTAAGGTCTACATGTGAAATGTGAACCTTCTTACACTTTTTATGGTTTAGCAAGTAAATATTTTTTTAAAAAAAATCCAATTCTTTTATGATATTATTACACCAAGGTCTATAAAATGAGCATGGACCGTAGGACTGTGGAAAAATTTGCCATACAAAAAAAACTTTCAATTAATAAATAAGATATATTTTTTATACCTCTAAATCAATGTCATGTGGGTATTTGTTTATGATATGTTATAGCAAAGTTAGTTTTGATTCTATTTATTGCAATATTGATGTAAAATTAAAACATATAAAATATTTTAAAAATAACACTAAATTATTTATAAAACAAGCGATGACTGTACTATAAATGTGTTAAAATAAAAAATACTATATGTTATTTCATAGTTCGAATATTGTTATGGTTTGATTTTAGTACTCCCTCCGTTTGGAAAAAGTGTTCCTATTTTGACTTTGTGTAAAAATAAGGAAGTATTAAATTGTAGTTGACTTCCAATTTTGCCCTTGATGTGATAGGTAAAATTAAGATGTGATGGATATATTATTAGAGATAAAGTATGATGTGATAGGTAAGGTATGAAAAAGTAAGGGTAAAAGTGGTTTTTTAATAGAAAGTGGAAGTGTTTTGTTGGAAGTAAAAAAAATGAAAGAGGAAGTGTTTTAAAAAACGGAGGGAGTACTAGACAATTTAAATTCAAAAATATATTATTTCTCATGATATATTATGATATGATATTCTTAATTAAGTCCTATAATACAATTTTTCAACATTACTGAGTAAATATAATTAAGGAACAGATAAGATCCATTTTATTAGAAAATACAATTATTTTTCCAATTTTATATTTTTTTCATTTCATTTATAATTAAACTATCAATGAATACATTAGATTCCCTTCTCTAAAAAAAGATACTTAGTCTCTAATGCAAATAGTTAATCACTAACTTTGATGCAAACAGATAAACTTTAACGTTGTTCCCATAAATAAATTCATATTTATTTATGACATGTTTAAATAAAGTTAGTTTGTATTTTATTTATTTTCAATATTAAAGCAAAATAAAATATATAAAAAATTAATCGCAAATTAATACTAGACTAGACTACTATTGTTTTAAATGATCAAATTAATACTACACTTGACCTACACTTGACCTATACAAATTAAGTGACATTCTCTGACCACAAAATAAACATAATTTGAATAAATAAATATTATAAAAGATATATATCAAAACTATCCTAAGATGAACCCAATTATATTGAATTTATATTGAAATTAAATATACTTTTTCCATAATTTGTAATGAAAGAGTGCCACTATTTTAACAAAAAAAGTCAAAATGAGTTTCATGCGGTTAATCTTAAGAATTAGTAACTGGATTATCTTTTAACGCACCAATTTGTTTTTCAAGCAATAATATGTTTGACCAATGAATTTTTTAGAATATATTAGTAAAAGTATTAAAAATATTATATTAAACGTATTATTCCGATATAATATTCTAAATTTTTATATTTTATTTCATTCTATATTTATATATATACTTATTGAAACATTTGACAACAAAGCAAACCGAAACAGGTAATGAATAATGTTTTTAGAATTATTCAAACTATATGCCTATTGAGGGTAAAGAACACTTCCTATTTTTGTATACGTGCATATACTTCTCTAAATAAATGTTATGCGTGCATATACTTCCCATTTTTATAGAATAATTTGTTATGCGTGCATATACTTCTCTAAATAAATGTTTTTACAGAGTAATTTTATCTTTAGGTTAGTGGTCTTATGCCGAGATTTATTTGACCGAAGAAGAACATTGCATTATCAATGTGTTTTTCTAAAAAGATAATTTTATTTTTTAATAAATACCAATATGAAATCCATGGTCGGTGCATATACAAAACTCTATAATTGAGATATGAATATAATAAATTTAGTCATATTTTAACTATTTTTTTACAGAACTTATTTCCCTAGAAGATGTAAAGAATTTGTGATTGATTAAAATTGAAAGATACCTAATTCAAATGGACGACCTTTGAAGGAGTTTAGTAGTATGTCATTCCGAGATGACAACCCACTTAACAAATTTGGAAATAATTTCTTGGTAGAGGAGTTGAATTACGACAAAGAAAAGTTATTATCCGATTTTAGCTGATATTAATCTATAATGAATGAAGACCCGTTGAAGATAGGGAAAAAGGCTAAAATTGGAGTAAAAAATTGAAAATATAACAAAATAGGAGTTCCATTTTTACTTCTGAAATAGAAGTTAAAATGCATTTACGGTAGTGATCATTATGGTCAATTTGTAAATTGTAGGTGCTACAGTCAAATCTTTAATATTATGGTCAATTTGTAAAGTTTTTATACTCCGTATCTATCATCAGTTGTATGAGGGTTGCATACCAGCAGTCTCCCTAAGAGTTTGTAGTTAACCTCTTTTGGTTTGAAAGCCTTAGGTTGTTGTATCGTTAGTGTTGTGGTGGGATTCTCAGGTAAGAAATTGCCTGACGGCTCCCCAACAAGTTTCCTTACTAGCTGTTTCATGTATATATTGTCATCCTTCAGTATTGTATTGATATTGAGTTTTTGTAACCCATTTTACATTATATATTTTTTGACAAATGAATAAGTCTTAGACGTTATAGTTATTTATTATTCTTTTTGTGTTAGGTTAGAGCAGTAGCATTGAAAAACTACTTTCCCTAAAACATACAGTATAATAACATAGAACATAGAAATATACGATTAAAATCTGGTTCATGTTTAGCTAGATCTCTACATCATTTTTTAAAACTCAATTAGGTGATGGTAATAGAAACATATAAAATCATACTCTGTATAATTAATAAACTACAACTGCAACAAATATTAAACTAAAAAAAACTAGCTTTAAAAATATTTGGGATCGTCTCTAATATTCTTGCTTTGGATTCCATCCTCGGCGATGGAAGGATTTGAAATTTTGAGTCAAACAAAAGAAGAACCAAATCATGATCAACAGGTAGAGCCTTTGCAGGAATGCCCTACGGATTAGGTTAAACAATTTTCAATATGTAAG